GCCGCCCCGCCGCGGTCCCCCTGTGGCTCTGCCTTCCCAGGCGGCTCCGGTGGCGGGGGCGGAGCCTGTCCCTCCGGGTCCCCACCCCCGCCCTCCACGATATAACTTGAGTCCGGACCTGGCATCCTCCGCTGCTTGAACCAGATTCCTGGCTTCTTGCTTTCTTTCTTCGACAGCATGAGCTTCACCACCCGCTCCACCACCTTCTCCACCAACTACCGGTCCCTGGGCTCGGTCCAGGCGCCCAGCCACCGGGTCCGGCCAGCCAGCAGCGCCGCCAGCGTCTATGCAGGCGCCGGTGGCTCAGGCTCCCGCATCTCGGCCTCCCGGATCTCGGTTTCCCGCACCAGCACGGTCCGGGGAGGCTGGGGAGCCGGGGGCCTGGCGGCGGGGATGGCCGGGGGTTTGGCCGGAATGGGGAGCATCCAGGGCGAGAAGGAGACCATGCAAGACCTGAACGACCGCCTGGCCTCCTACCTGGACAGAGTGAGGAACCTGGAAACGGATAACCGTAGGCTGGAGAGCAAAATTCGGGAACACCTGGAGAAGAAGGGGCCCCAGGTCAGAGACTGGGGGCATTACTTCAAGACCATCGAGGAGCTGAGGGCACAGGTAAGGGGCGTGGAGGTAGGGGCCCCAACCCCCAGCCTTGTTTGATCCTCCTGTTGGTGTTCTTCCTCCCAAGGATAGGAGTTTTCGTAGGGTGGGTGCATTAGCTTCTTCACTTCCTGTCCACCCCACCACACCCTCACTCCACGTGTAAGGGGTCAGGAGCACCCTGGATTTCTGTCCACACACCTGCTTAGCCACAGGGACTCCCAAGCGTGGAAGCTAGTTCGGGAGGGTCCTTCCCCAGGAGTTACTGGGGGTCAGCTTTGCTGAGGAAGTAGACAGCATGGAAGGAGATGGAAAAAGCCCCTTTTAAAGTGGACCCAGGTACTCTGGCTTCTGGCCCAGTGGGGACAGTTGGAGGGTTAAGCGGGGACAGTTGGAGGGTTAAGCGGATGTGGCTAAGGCTGAGTCATCTAGGAGTAAACACGCAGCCTACCTGTGGGAGGGGCCAATCCAGGCTGTGGGGGGCCCTGAGCAGGTGCACCAGGAACAAGTGCCAGAAGACGGCCAGGGAAAGAACGAGTTAGTAGCAGTTCACTTCCGGGAGTGGGGGAGGGTCAGCCAGCCCAGGCCCTGCAGGACAGGCAGGGGGAGCACCATGCGCAACTGCTGTGATTCGGAATCCAGAAAACAAAAGAACAGCCACGTGGGGTGGAAGGAGTGGGGACAGATGGAATGAGATAGGTGTACAGGAGAAGCCTCTGGCTACTCTTGAGGCAGGGAAGGTTTCCCTGAGACATAAAACATCTTCCATGCACTCAGCCCACCCATCACTGACTTCCATTCATGGAGCAACCTCTTTCTTCAATCCGCCCAGATCTTTGCAAACTCTGTGGACAATGCCCGCATCGTTCTGCAGATAGACAATGCCCGTCTTGCTGCTGATGACTTTAGAGTCAAGTAAGTCTTGGAGTTGGGCACTGGTGAGCAGGGGCAGGGTTGGGGGGATAGAGTTAAGAATAGTCTGCTCCCACGCTGGGCAGGGTAGGGGTTCACAGTGGGTAGAGCTGATGGATAAGACTTAGGGTGCATCCATTAGTCATTTAACTATTCAGTCATATAACCCAGTTAAAGAACAGTGTCCCCCACCCCCAGCCATGTGCCAAGAACGGTGCCCAGGGGATTGCCACTTTATTAATGACTCACGCTGCTGGTTTGCGGTGGGCTCAGGACTTAGGTGTGATGTGGACTGAGAAGGTTCTAGATCGGAAATGGGGGCTCCTGATCATCTCTATTTCCACAGGTATGAGACAGAGCTGGCCATGCGTCAGTCTGTGGAGAGTGACATCCATGGACTCCGCAAGGTCATTGATGACACCAATGTCACTCGGCTGCAGCTAGAGACAGAGATCGAGGCTCTCAAGGAGGAGCTGATATTCATGAAGAAGAACCATGAGGAGGTAAGTAGCGGTCACTGGCTAGACTGGAGACCTTAAAGGCCAAGGCAAGTCTTGGGTGTGGGCAGTGGACAGGGCAGGCCACCTGCAAGTAGTCTCACAGGGAGGTTTAGAACTACCAGCATGGACTCTTAATCAGATTGTACTGTTAGAGAGCTTACATGGTCGACCACCTACATCCTTGGCTCCCTGAACTCCCTGAGATGAGGTCATGATATGGGTAAGAGAATGGGGGGATGACAGAAGCAGCTTGTGAAAGGTTTGTGGAAGGAGGGCAGATGGAGGGCCAGAGTGAAGTTAGGAGAGAGAAACCACCTGTGAGTGACAGCACAGGCAGGGAGTGGGTGGCATTTTGACCTACCTGGAGTAGAAAGCCCAGAACTGGCACACTACCCAGAGTGCAAGCTGGGAATTGCCCCTGGTCTCTCCCCCAACTGCTCCCATGGCCTCCTCAGCACAGGCAATCACAGAGGAAGGGCATTACTGGAGCTCTAACCCTGAGCTGAGCCCTCCTCACCTACACCTGGTCTTTCTTAGGAAGTCAATGGCCTACAAGCCCAGATTGCCAGCTCTGGGTTGACTGTGGAAGTGGATGCTCCCAAATCTCAAGACCTCAGCAAGATCATGGCAGACATCCGGGCCCAATATGATGAGCTGGCTCAGAAGAACCGAGAGGAGCTGGACAAATACTGGTCCCAGCAGGTGAGCAAAGAAGGAAATGGCCGGCGTGTAGAAGGGAGGCAGGCAGGGGAGAGGGGCCTGATGGACCATATCCACTCTGCAGATTGAGGAGAGCACCACAGTGGTCACCACACAGTCTGCCGAGGTCGGAGCTGCAGAATCGACACTCACGGAGCTGAGACGCACGGCCCAGTCCTTGGAGATTGACCTGGACTCCATGAGAAACCTGGTGAGAATCCTCGTGTCACACCTGCCTCAACTCCTCTGGACCCAGCCCTGTCTCCGCCCAAATCCTATCCCTCCTATCATGAGTTCTTTTGCTTCTCTTTTGCATTCCCCACTGGGGACCTACCAGTGATCCTGTGGATCCTATTTTACTACTTGGCACACAAGAGCATTTAAAAAGTTTCACAGAGTGGGAACCAGCAGTTAGCATAATGGCTATGTCGCTGGACTCCCACGTAGTCAACCGCGGTTCGCGTCCTGGACCCGGTGGCTTAAAACTCACGCCGGGCACGTGTGCGCGCGTGCCCAAGATCCCGAGAGGAGAATGGAGGAAAAGGGATTGTGGCGTGACCATCCCCCCTGGGGGGTGATTTCTCGCTTTCTGTCTCTCTGTCTCTCTCTGTCTGGCGAGCGCACGCGTCCTATAGCAAAAACCTCTCCCAAAAAAAAAAATGTTACACAGAGTGAAGGGGGTGAGCAGTCCTGGGATTCTGGACTCACCCTGATTCCGTTCCCTGTGCCCCTGCAGAAGGCGAGTTTGGAGAACAGCCTGAGGGAGGTGGAGGCCCGCTATGCCATGCAGATGGAGCAGCTCAATGGGGTCCTGCTGCACCTGGAGTCAGAGCTGGCACAGACCCGGGCAGAGGGGCAGCGCCAGGCCCAGGAGTACTGCTGAACATCAAGGTCAAGCTGGAAGCTGAGATTGCCACCTACCGTCGCCTGCTGGAAGACGGCGAGGACTTCAGGTGAGGGAGCTCCCCTTCCTCACACAAGCTGGGGTCCAGGGATCATTTTTGGAAGTCTCCCACATACCTACTCATTGGTACACACTGAGTACTGGTCTACTGTGGGTGTCCCAATGTCTTCAAGGGCATAACAGTTCAGAGGTTCCTTCTCATGAGACAGAGTTGCCCCTGGCTGTACAAGGGTAGAGATAAAGTTTGGCCTTGGGGTTTCCTTTTTTGGAGGGAGGCTGAGAGGAATTTGGAGGTAAAGGAAAGGTTTAGGAGGCTTTTTGCCTCCACCTTTCTTTCTTCCTCTCTACTTTGGGGCTCTTTCTAATGGGGACTCCACCTTCTGTTACAGTCTCACTGATGCCCTGGACAGCACCAACTCCATGCAGACCATCCAGAAGACCACCACCCGCAAGATAGTAGACGGCAAGGTGGTGTCTGAGACCAACGATACCAAGGTTTTGAGGCGTTGAGACAGCAGAAACAGGGTACCCTTGGGAAGCAACGGGGCAATAAAAAACACAGCGATCATTGCATGTCACTTCATGTCTTCTTTGGTTCTTTTTATACTATGTAAATGCCCTGATACATCAGTCCCTTCTCTGATCAGGCTAAAATCACTTCTGCCCCCAGGGTTGGTTTTTTTTTTTTTTTTTTTAAGGATTTCCCCTAAGGGTACATGCACTTGCAGGAGAGAAGGAAAGTGTGGGTGGCCACTCTGTGATCCCTTCTCCATTCTCCTCCTTCTCCATTCTCCTCTTCCTCTTCGGATTCTGGACTTAGGCACATGCACCTGGTGTGATTTTCACTTAGAGACCCTCAACTACAGTGAGCCATGTGGGAGTCCAGCAGCCATAATCAATCACTACACCACCTGCTGGCCCCCTGACCCCAGGGGTTTTAGAGTGCTAGGGCTCTGGGTAGAATTGGGATCCACGTGATCATTGAAGGTCAAGGACATCTGCACCAGTGGTTTATCTGGGTCCCTGCTAATGAGTACT